AACAGTCCAGTTGTCGTCTTTTGCAGGAGGGATTGCTGCAGGTATCATTACATCAGTGAGATGACCCACATAGGAATCTGATGGTAGTACAGTGTAGCCCTTCCCTCATTCCAGGTTTAAACCTTACACTGGTCTTGTCTCATTTGGGGACTTGAGTCTATCAGAACTGGGAAGGATTGTGATCCTGAGAAATGAAGCATCAGCCTTTCTGACTGCTTGAAAATTTTCATGATGAAATGTTGGAAGGAAGTCTAAATAAATGCACCAAAAGCTTTCACATTCTAGTCCCAATGAATTGCTCACTAATAACATAGACCTATTATGTAGCCTTTAATTTTTATGACTACAATTTGGCGAAAGAACTGTTGCTTGAAATTCAACACTCCTGTAAGAAATCTACTGAGTGCTTCCTGTTGACAAAGGCATTATGTGAAGAAAGAAGAGAAGTAAGAGTGGAAAGAAGGAAAAGAATATGGTCTGGGGAGCACACAGTCCTGACAGTGAGGGGTGGGTGGGTGATGAAGAGCACAGGAACAGTGTCAGCCCCCTAGAATCACAAAAGAGGAAGATTCAATGCCAGGAGGGAGAGAGAGACAGAGAGACAGAGACAGACAGAGACAGAGAGAGACAGAGACAGAGAGACAGAGTCAGAACAGAGGAGAAGAGAGGTGGGGTAGGCAACCTAGCAGAACCTTTAACAGGTGGAAAGTGGGTGGGGAAACAGGGCAGGAGTTGTATCCAGTGGTGGGAATAGAAGCCATAAGCAAGAAGAGCATGTGTAAAGCAAATTAGTGTCCTGGGAGATGGAAACCGAAGGATCAGCTGTGTGTGTGTGTGTGTGTGTGTGTGTGTGTTTGAGGGGGTAGACACTGAAGGTGCCCGAGCTGTGTTCTGGGGTCGAATAGGAAAGTTCTGCACCCCCTTCCTCCTCCAAACTTCAGATTTTCCCCAGAGATACAGGATAGGAGTCAACATTGCAGGAGCACCATCAGTTTAAAGGTATCATCAACTCAGAGAGTGGAGATCCAGTGAGAATAACGGGGAAATCAATATTTGGGGGCTGGTTTCTAGTTTCTGGATCCTGAGCCCAGGTACCTACCCCTTGACTGGCAGTGGACGGAAAACTATGCATTGCTCCAAAGAGCTAACATTTAGCTGCTTGCTAGGGGAGGCCATTGTGGTCATTTTTAATTTAATATTTAGTATTTTAAGCTATGTTATGATTACTCTATTCCATGAGCCACTTGATAATGGTAGTGAACATCACAATAAAACTATCTCCATCACCTCAAAAGAAAAATTTATATTGCTATATTGATTCCTTTTCAATTCTATATGCTTCTGGCTTTTTTCATGATTGTAATCATAATACAAATGCAATTTTAAAAGCTTGATGTTTTATATATTTTTTTCCTAATGGTGATACTGCATAAAGTGCTATTCCTTTTCTCTCTCTTTTCCTGCAGTGCCAAGGTGCATGATGGGAAAGCACTCTACCCCTGAGCTGCCTCCACAGCAACCCCTTCTCTGAGAGGAGAGCTGTCTCATGATGGTGTCTAAAATGGCCTTAAACTCCTGAACTTGAAGGAGTCTCAACCTCACAAGTAGCTAGGACTATAAGCATGTACTACTGTGCCCAGAAGTAGTATATACCATATTCAAAATCACAGAACAAATGTGATTAATTGTTGGACATTCATATTTACTACCCTTAAAAATGATTAGCTCTATGTATCTGGTTTAGGAACTAACCGATCTATTTAAAATACCAAATTGAACTCTTTCTTCCCAAGGCGAGTGTATACAGGCTTAGACCCAGAGAAGGTCTTCTGTGTGCTGGCTGTTGGGCCAGCAATGACCTGAAGATGAAGAGCCTGTACATCAAGAAGTACTGAGGTCTCCAAGAGGCAAATGCAACGGGCTCAGCCTCAAGAACACCTAATTTCCTTTTTGTTGAGGGAAAAAAACACAGTGAAACTATTCAAACATATCCTATGAAACTAAGAAAATTGAGGTAAGGGTTTGGGCTGGGAGGGATGGGAGGGAAAGATGACAGGGATGATATTGATCAAGGTATGTGATACTTACAAAGTCATTTGTTGACCAGCAATTCCTCTGTACAACTACTTAAAGAAGATCTATCTATCTATCTATCTATCTATCTATCTATGCATCTATCTATCTATCTATGCATCTATCTATCTATCTATGCATCTATCTATCTATCTATCTATGCATCTATCTATCTATCTATGCATCTATCTATCTATCTATCTATCTATCTATCTATCTAT